GTTTTGGCCGATAGAACATTAGCAGAAGTGATGGCAACTCCCTCCCTGCTGGGCTATGACAACTCAAGAATCTCTAGGAGGTGGTAGAACCAAGAGATAAAGGAGGATCTTGCTCTACCCTGTTGCACAGGGAAAAATGATGTGAGCAAGAAATATGCATTTACTGATTTAAGCCATTTATTGTTTATACTCGTTTGTCACAGGAATTAACCTTTCCTAATTAGTACAGATAAATAAATGAAGCAGACTATGTATTCATTCTACAAACATCCCTTAACTAGGTTATGTGTCACATTTGGGTGCTGGAGAACTGGGAGTGAATAGAGTAAGGAAGCCCTCTGCTCTCAATTCTTCATGGTTTCATGGAGGGGCAGGCAGATAACGGAAAATTAAAGGTAATGAAAACCTGTTCCTGGGAGGAGACATTGAAAGTAATCCTGAAGTGACTGTTTGTGATACTTAAGTATCTTCTCTAATACCACAGGTTATTTTCACTGTTTTCCTAAGTGAGTGGGTTGAATAAACAGGAATGTTGCAAAAAATAGAATCTACAAGACCTGGTCACAGTGGGGTTGAAGGATAAGGAGGAATCAAAATGAATCCCGACAACGGGAAGAATGATGGTGACATCAACAGAAATGGGACATCCACTTAGGTAGGAGCTGAACTGAGAAAACAATGATGAGTTTGCTTTAGAATATGTTGAGCTTGAGGCAGCTGGAAGGCGTTTGGGACCTGAAACCTGTTGCTTAAGAAACACCTCTGGCTAGAGACACTAGAAGTCGATAGATAAAAGTTAAGTTAAATTAGCGTCTCATATTTGCTTACAAAAAGGAGTGCTAGTCTCCATGTAAAATGGGACAGGTCAAAGATAGTTTTCAAATGATTTTCATGGCACAATAAAGACAAGTCTAGTGTATTTTCTCTTTTCTGAAGAACCAAAAACTACACCAGCAGTTACAGTACTTTGACAATGGACATTGCAAGGTCTGAGATCTCTAAAGTCCCATAGCACCAAATGTATTGACACTACTCCATTTAAGCTGTCTGATCACTCACGGCATTGCAAAGGGTGTCGAGGATCTGCTTATCTGACAACCCACTACAGAAAAGGTTGTAGCATTAAATGTTTGTTTGAGCAATTCCAAGTCTTTATTTTTCCCTTTCCCCTAGGGCAATAAATAAGCCTCTGAAGTTTCAGGTCCCAGTTTGAAGGTTGTTTTTCTTGGACTATTGTAAGCCACTAAGAAAACTCATTGCTGTGTCTCTCTCACACTCCTGCCTTGCAAATTGCCGTACCCATCAACTTCACCTCTACGTAAGCTATATGACAGACTAGAACAAATCACCCATTCCCCTTTTTTCTTCCTTATTTTTCTCTTTTTATCATTTTTCCTTTCTGGATTTTTCTTCTAAACTTTTCTTCCTCTGCATTTTACTTCCTTTCTAAAACTTTACTCCTGATCTATTGTCTCCCTTCTCTGCTTAAAATATTTTACATATTACTTAATTATTAATTCATAGTTTCATTTATTAATCAAATTCATCAAAGAGGAATTAAGTGTTTATAACAATCCAGATAGGGAGGAAAATAAAAAAATATATATTTCATGTATATTACATTGAATCGGCCCAGCAACTGCAGTTTAGAAGGACCTTCAATAGCCACAGTTTCATCCTACGTCCATTAGCTTCATTATCTATAGTTACTTTCATTACTTTCCAGTTTCATTAGCTACTTCTACAAGTTGAAAGAGTTTCTTCATTAGCTACACTAACCACTGTCACTTGAATCCTAGAAGGGAGTAGGAGTCTTATATTCCTATCTTATTGACATAGAAGAGGATCATTAACAAAAGCAAACTCATACAGAGAAAAAATTTCTGAATAAATTAATTTTGTTTATTTTTAAAAACCTAAATCTCTTTAATACATCTTAAAATAGCATGAACAGCTCCAGGGTAGTAGTTACTCCTTCGAACACCAGGATTTTCCATTTTTTTTGAGAAGATAAAAGGCATTTATTTATTTATTTATTTTTAAATATAAAGCGACTTTATTAACAGTTACACAGTTTCAGCAGATAGTTACATAGGGTTTATCATATCTAGATTTTTCAGCACTCTTTAGAAAGTGTGGCCCATGGCTAGTAAGAACATTTCTACTTCCCAGTAGTTCCCTGGGTGTCCTTGAAGGGTGATACTCAGTGATGTCCCATGTCCTTTAAAGACTGAAAGTATTCTTGGCCAAATGTCTTGTTTCACAAAGTTATGAATTTGTATTGTAATAACAGTTATTTATTTTCTTTCTTAGTAGAATTCACTATTTTGGAATGAAAAAAGAATTACCAATACCCGTTTGTGCCTTTATTTACCATGCCATCATTTAAGGAAGATTGGGGGAGGTGGGGACTTATTAATCACCTGTAAGCTCCCAAGTATATGATACACAATTTTCTACAACATAAGCCTTGCCCTCAACAAGGTCATAGTCTCATATTTTATAAAAGAGACAAGCATTTTAACAAACACGCAACGCATTGTGGTAAAAAATCATAGTAGAGATAAAAATCTAGTGATTAGCCCTGAAGTTTGTCAATACTTACAGTTTTCCAAAGAATAATGGCACGTGATTTACCTGATTTCTTACAATTTTTTTGAACTGAAAGATAAGTTATATCTATTAATAGCAATTGTTATAATTAAGGAATGGTACCTTCAAAGTATTTAAGCATTCCTAAGAGTGAATTATAAGGAAGTAGGTGAGAGTATTGGCAGCAGTCCCTGACAAAGGCATATAGTACATTCATTTTTTTTCCACACACATTTTCTCTCTCTCTCTCTCCTTGTTCCAAATGAAGTTCTGCTCATGGGTGTGAGATGGAGGCGGGGAAGAGAGAAGGTGGAGGACCACATGGGACCACAGTGACATACGGTGCTTTCATTCCAAATTGATTTTCCATGCCCTGCTCCTGTTTCAGCAAACAGCATAACACCCAGTATTTAACTTTATCAGGAAATAACCCATGGAGGAGTTTTGCAAAAATCTGTGAAGTACCTATAAGGCACTCTTGTGAAATTATTATCACTATTCAACATTTATTAAGCATTCCCCGCTGCCCTCTCCTTGGCCAGCATAAAACAGCAGGCATGGCAGGTGAAGCCCCTGCCTCAAAGGGGCTTATAAGTTAATATAATTCTTATATTAACTTATAAGAATTTCCATCACTTACATCCATCTAAAAGATCTTGGGGAGATAATCACAGAGCCTTTTTTTAGAGTACTTATGGATTTTACCAAAGGGAGAGTTAAAAGCATTAGAATTTCTTTATTATTTATCGCTCATATATACGTATGCGTGTGTACGATGGGGCAAGTGTTGTCATGGAAGAGCAAATTTGCCTGAAACTTTTTTTTCTTAATAAAGTTCATTCTTAGTTACTCTCTCCTTTTTAAACTGTCCTTAACAACTCTTTTGAGCAGCAGCTCTAGTCACTGTTACATATACACTCACTTAATACTCACCACAACCCTTTGAGGTAGGGAGATGCTTTTGTTATAGTATATTACAGATAACGTAACTAGGGACAGTGTGATGACCTAATTTGGCCAAAGCCACCAGGTTAAGAAGTGGGAGACCCTGGTAATCAGCCCCCAAAATGTGAATTTGTGTTCACCATGCCATACTGCACCCTGAGGGCATGTCTTCTTTCTTTCACATGAACCACAGCAGGCCACTATGCTAGAACGACATAAAAAAATGTTTTCTTTTGTTTGCTCTTCCATAGAGACTTCTTCCATGTGCCTTTGCATCTTCCAAAATCTTTAGCCTGTTCTTTAAGGAAGCCCTTCTCTCCTTATGGAGTTTCTCTACATCAGACTGATCCTGGCCATGCAGCCAACAGCAGTGCCATGTCAGCCTGCTAAAGACAAAACCCTTTCTGTTTCTCAACGAAATCCCTCATATTTTGAGCTGAAAGTAAGAATTGCTCTGCTGAGGTGCCAAGGGAAACATACTTCCATTATGAAGTGTTTCTAACAAATGTTTTGGAAGTTTTAAAGAGGCAGCTTTCTAAATATCCAAGGCATCTGCAAACAACCCAGACATGCAGGCCTGCTTTGCAGCCCAAGCATTGTTTTTGGGTTGTATAATTTTGTTTCTGAAAACCAGCACAGCTGTTGCGATGCCCCTTTATTCATTGTCCAGTGAGACCAACAATTTCTTTTTCTACGGTTTAATAATCAAAGTGGTATTCCAGGTCTTTGGTTTTGAAATATATGCATTGCTAATATAATTTTGGCTTCTTTAGCAGAATTTCAAAGAAGAATCAAAGGTTTATCTTTATAAAATTTATAATCATTCCGCAAAGTTCAAGATGTTTGGCAGTGCTTGGGAAACTTAAAAACAGTAATAAAAGGTTACCAGGAGGAATTCAAGATGCCTTGTATGGTAATGCTAATTCAAGCCACCACACACTGCAGCACTACAAGTTTAGCTGTGATTTTACTGTTGGATCAGCACTAGGTAGCTGCAGAGATATTTAAGTGGCTTGGCAATTAGCAATGAATAACGAACTTTGGAAAATTTACAATTACTTTTCAGCTTTGAAAACACATTAGAGAAATGAAAGAGAGAGAGAGAGAATCGTACAATTTTGAGGCTCATTTACTGAGTATTCATCAGCCTCCTTGACTGTTCTTTAACATCAACAGCTCCACCTTGCCTTGCAATTGTAAACTGTGCACTTTTGCCAACCTGGAATGTACACCGTGTCCCTGGCTGGCCCGAGCTCACTCTGAATCTCTGCTTGCTCAAACCCTGGTATCCCAAGCTCTTGATTTGCTGGCAGCCAGTTGAAGGGGTTTCCTTATGAATCATAGAGTGCAGGGAGGATGAGTGATATACCCTACCATAATCTGTATGGAATGTATCTGAAATAGAAGACAGAAACCTAGAGTTTAGTTCAACATCGGATTTCAAACACATTCTTGAAAATTTGGAGGCCAATATGGAAAAAAATAACAGTCTCTCTCCTGCTATGGAAACGTTTATTCTCATAAGATTGTCTCCAGAGGGACAGGAACTAAGCTGCACATGTTCAGGCTCTGAGGCCTCTGATGAGGAAAGGGTCCATTTCATGACCCTCTCAGATGACCCAGCTTTCCTGATTAAGGTAATAAAAGCAATTGGTCCAGTGGCGAGTGGCAGTGGAATGACGTGGCAGAGGCTGGCAAAGGCAAAGTTGAGAATACACAGGTGCCAGGGGCTAAGGCTTTTGTCAATGCTGCTGAGCACATGTAAACATCTGACAGACCACATCTTTAACTGCAAGAAGGAAATAAAGAATATTACAAAGCAAGAGGTGTTTATAAAAGTCATAGGATAGATGCAAGAGCAGTGTTTCTCACCATGTCTTAACCTGTTTACAGTAAGTTTAAGAAAATAGGTTTATTTATTAATAATTGCATTTATCTGGAAAAATGAATTAAGACTAGCTACTAAGCTCTTATTTCATTTCAAAGAAACTAGATATACTGCACTAACCAAATTTTATTATTTTCTTTTTAAATATCATGAAATACTCAAATATGTGAAATGAAAAAAAATATTCATGGAGGCATTCAGAATGAACAGAAAAATTTAAAAATTTGTGGCTTTAAGCTTAGGATTTGCCCTATAAGTTAAACTTATCAAACTTACACATCCTCCCCAAATTATAGAGAATCAGTCATGTTTCAGAAATGTATAATAAAATGCACATATGCTGCAAAACTTTCTCTGGTTATTAAGTAATAAAATAATCATAACTTCTTAATTCATAAATCTTATAAAGTAATTGAAATTGAAATGTGTGATGCCTGCCGATTTTACTAATATTCAAAGAAAATAGTCAAATTACTTCCCTTATATATTAAATCACTTGTAATACATATTTCCAAATAAAAGTGAATAGTGTGAGAAAGAGGAAATGGAAAATAAATAATCTATTTTTGGATACTTAGAATTTGGGCTTGATACAAAAGTCCCTTCAGTATCAATAATTTGATATGGTCATCAGGTATAAATGATGTTAACAAGTCCACTAGATAATATTCTCAGCAGTATGTAGAAAACATCAAGTCTATGTTTATTCATTTATTTAACAATCAACATTGAGAGATTACCAAATACCATGATATTTATAAGGTGTACAAGAAGCTCATGTGCTCAAGATGCTCACCATGTAAGGACAGAGGCAGACATGTAAACAAGTAATTGTCATGGATGTGGTCTGAATGTTTGTGTCCCTTCAGATTTCATATGCTGAAATCCTCAACCACAAGACGATGGTATTAGAAGGTACACCATTGGGATGTGATTAGGTCCTGAGAGGGGAACCCTCATGGATAGGAATAATGCCCTTATAAAAGAAGCCTGAGAGACACCGCCTGCCCCTTTGGCCATGTGAGGTTAGAGTGAGAAGGTGGCTGTTCATGAGGAAACAGGCCCTCACCAGGCAGTGAACCCATCAGAGCCTTGATCTTGGACTTTCCAGCTTCCAAACTGTGAGAAATAAATTTCTATTGTTTGTAAGCTACTCAGTTTATGATATTTTGTTATAGCAGCCCCAATAGACTAAGACAATCATACAGAGTGTGGTAAGCCCTCACTAGCGTGGTGTACAAAGAGAGGGGAGAAGGGAGAGCAGAACAGACTTCAGGAAACTGGGTCTTAAACAAGAGGACAAGTGACCAGGAGGAGAAAGACGGGAGGTGGAATAGTAAAGAGCATTTCACACACAGTCTCATGACAGTTATGCAAACAAAAGGCATAATTTGTGCAATAACAAGACATGTGTATGTGGTGTCATCGGGGAGGGCTAGTCTTTCTGATTGATTATAGAGAAGAGATATTGGCAGGGAGAGGGGCAGACTATGGGCTGCTGAAGGAGGGAGCCAAGGTTTAAGTCTCACTTCTAGCATCACTGTAAGGCTTGCTGAAGAGTATGGGCTATGAGGAAATATCTCCCCAAAGTTGTCTTATGAAGTATTAACTCCATAGACCATTTATTTCTTGAGTTATTTATGGTGAACTGGAAAACAAAAGGTTTCTTTTTCAAGTAAGTTTGAGAAATGCTGGATTTCTTTTCTGTAGAGCTTCTCAGTTTTCAGTATGCTAATGAACTTGGCTGTGCAAGATATGCTAATAAATATATTATTTCCCACACTTATTTGACCAAAGAACCCTTTGTCTGCACAGGATATTTTTGAAAAGCTAGTATTCCATATAAGGTAATTTGGAAATGCTACTATAAGCAATTGAGAAGAATTGAGGGTCTTAATTATGAAAGATCAGGGAGATCCATGGCCAAATTTGTATTTCAGAAATGCAACTTTGGCAAGAATATGAAAGAAAGGTTGGAAGTGAGATAGAGCTGGGAAGCTAACATCCAGGCAAAGCCTATGGACATGGAGGAGGAAATCTAAATTTGGTAGATTTTTAGAATTAACAACACTAAAGGGCTGGTTGGACATGGGGAGTAAAGAAGTGAATAAGAAGGAAAAAGTAAATAATAACTTAATCAGCGATTCAAGGGTAGCATCATCAAAAATGAGACAAACTGACATCAAGTGCCTCCTGAGGTGATGAACTGAGGACACATCACTTATATTATATTCCTGACAACAAGACATAAGCTGAAATTTCTCTTGAAAAATATTTTATAAGATCAATGGGCTATACCCTCAAAAAATATCACTGTCATAAAAGACAAAAAGAGAGCAAAGAACCACCCCAGATTAAGGGAGACTAAAGAGATATGAAAACTAAGTGCAAGTGTGATTCTTTAGCACATCCTGAACCAGAAAAACATATGCTACAAAAGACATTAAAGAAATAATTTGACATTAAAGTAATAATTTGAATAGGTCTTATAAGTTAGGTAATAGTTCTGTATCAATGTTAGTTTTTTTGAGTCTGAAAATTTTACCGTGATCATGTAAGAGAATGTTTTTATTCTTGGAAAATAACACTAAAATATTTAAGAGAAAAGGAGTATAAGCTCTGTAACTTACTCTCAAACAAAACAGAAAAATTATATAAGCATATATAAATACATATTTAGATATAAATATCATATGAATACATTACATACATATTTATATAATTGGATGATCTTGTATGGTGTGTGTGTGTGTATATATAGAAAAAGAGATTAATAAAGCATAACAGGCCAGAGGCAATGGGTCACTCCTGTAATCCCAGCACTTTGAGAGGCCAAGGTGGGAGGATTGCTTGAGGCTAGGAGTTCAAGACTAATCTGAGAAACACAGCAAGACCCTGTCTCTACAAATAATAATAATAATAATAAATTAGCTTAGGGTGGTAACATGTGCCTGTAGTCCTAGCTACTTAGGAGGTTGAGGCAGGAAGATCACTTGAGCCCAGGAGTTTGAGGTTGCGGTGAGCTGTGATGATGCCACTATACTCTAGCCTGGACAACAGAGCAAGACCTTGTCTCAAAATTAAATTAAATTAAATTAAAGCAAAGCAAATATGAGCAAATGTTGAACACTGATAATCAATTTGGGTGAGGGGCATATGGAAAAATTTAAGTACTTTTCTGTAAGTTTGAAAGTACACAAAAAGTAACTCAGCAATTCCACTTGGAATTTATCTTAAACAAAGCCAACAGGCACAAAATGTAAGTCAATGATGATTTTTGCAGTTTCTAACTTTGGTAATGGATAAACATATGAAACACCCAGGCTAGGGAGGAACAGGGTTTGAGAGAAGACAGAGAGTTATGTTTGGGACATGTATCCTCAAAATGCTAATGTCATATCCAGGGGGACATGAACATGCCTATAGTCCTTGAAGGAAGGTACACTGGAGTCAGAGGTTTTGAAGGCATCTTTACATTACCTATTCTCCACTTGCTGACAGCTTCTCTCTTCATTCAAACAACTTTCTAGAGCAAACTTACAACTTAAGCTTAATATAATATATGAAATTTTACTATCTTTTTATGAGCTTGACTGTCCTAAAAAGGATACTGACATAAATGATTTATAATTAAGTTTAGAAGAAAAATTCAGGTATATTATATTAAGTAAGTATCAATGGGTATTAGGTCTCAATCAGTAGCCACAACTATAAAGTGCAGTGAAGAAAATTTTGTATATGTTCTCAAAAATTGATTGAAAATGATAGCATATTAATTGATATTTTAAAATTCCTCAAGAAAATTAGCCACATATTTTTAATTGTCCTAAAATTCAAGATCTATAGAGCTTATATTTCAAGGATTTATTTGGATACTATTTTATTAAAATAAACAACCTTACAGTGCAAACAACAGTTGCTTTAATAAACACTTCCCTTTTACCTAAAGCTTAATTTAATTAGGAAATAGAGAATGCTAATGCTAAAATAGATTACACTAGCTGGCTAAGCAAACGTCAGGTTTTCCAAACCTTGGTTATAAAAATGAACAGACTCAAAAATATTTTTCTGAAATAAATATTATCTCAATCTTGTGTACACAGGCAGTTTTAGCTTTTCCAAGGCTGAGTACTAGCTATTCTTTTCTGACTCTTGTCTGTTATAAAATGCCAGAGATACCCTCCTGCCATCCTGTGACACTTACTCATGCTAGCATGTAGATATCCCATGCTCAATTTATTTCCATTTCTTGGAGCAATTATTTGAATAAAAACAGAGCAATCCTTCCACTGTCTTTAGTGGATTTAAATGCTAGTCTAATTATATCAAGCAGAGTGTCTAGCCAGACTGCCTTAGTTTGATTCTGACTCTGCTCCTTATGAACTGTGATCCTAGACAAGGTACTGAACCTCTTTTTACCTTGTTTTCCAATCTATAAATTGGAGCAGTGACAGTACTTAGAGCTTTGGTCACATTATGTACCACATCATAACGTTTCCTTTGGCACATTTGCCAAAGGAAAATTATTCCTACCTGCCTAGGTGAGAAGAGTTCTATCTTCCTCTAGAACCTCATCCCTGGTATTCAGAACTACCAGGATGCTTACTTGCATCTGAAGGGTCAGTCCTAGGACTTCTTACCTACAATTCAGACAGTATTTCTGGGGATGAACGGACCCCACCAGCACTGTTCATACACTGCAGTTCCAGAAATGGATGGTGCTGCTGCTATGAATGCTGTCACTTCTGCTATCACCACAGGAAGCTTCTAGAAGCAAGTGTGGCCACTGCTCATATTCCACCTTTGTTCTATTTAACAGTACTGTGCTTTGGCCCAGAAGAAAGAAACCCACCTTTCATCTCTCCTCCTCTGCCCTAAGTACTGTGGAATCTATAAGCCCATCACTATAGTTCAAGAACCCTAAAAGCTAGTCAGTCACTGATTTTAAATTATCAAGCTATTCTGGTGGGGTTTTTTGGTAAATTTTTTCAATAAATTATGACCATAGGCCATCCTGGATAAAATCCTTGTCCCAGTTCCTTGGTATTATAATCTGAGGTCAGGAATAGCCATGGATGTGGCACAATGTACAGATTACAGAACATCACTGCAAAGCCCAATTTGAACTCCTTGGGTGAGATCATTTCACCTTCTATAATATATAAAAGTGCTCAGTGCGTACATACTTTGAAAAATGCTTTGAGGAAACCTTGTTACACAGCATGACTTCCTCTGGACAGTTTTGACAGAACAGAGGGCACCTAAGGAGCAGCTGTTATAAGAAAATTAATAATGATTTATATCCTTCTCCCAATAACTCAGATAACTGCATATTCATGAAAATCACCCTTTTGAGTGGTCAATATGATCTCTCTGAACCAAATAAAATATCTCCTCAAATCTCTTTTACATGTCCATTCTTTTTTCAGTATGATAATAGAAGACAGAAAATATGAGGTCATGTTTAGGAAGGTTGATGCAAGAGGCAGAAGGAGCTCCACCTGAGCAGAGGCCTGTAGGGTGTGGAGGAAGCAGCAGCCAAGAGCAAACTGTGACCCCAGTGAGTTGAAGACAATTTCTTACAACTTTTGTCACCTCTCAAAAAATAATGCATCCCAGATTTAATAAAAATGGAGTTTAAACAAACTAACAGGTGAACTTAGGAAAATTCCAAACCCAAATAGAGAAGGCAGCGGGGGTTTCTACCACCATCTACCATGTCTCAAGGGTCTTATGCATTACGCTCGAGGAATGCTTTCAGTAAAGTGAAGCTAAACGTTAGAAATACTTTCTGATGAGTGATGTTCTTAGTACCGATTAACCATGAACCTGCATTTTTCCTACCAAAACTATGGTTATTTTTTTTTTTTATAGAAAATGATTTACCCTCCAATACAAAAGAGCCAGTATCCCTAGTGAGAAGAAATCACAAGTAGAGGATGAGTTTAATGCTAATGGCCTTCATGACAGTGCCCTTGAAGGCTGAGCTGGTGTTCTGCAATATCCTGGCCCCCTCAGCCCTGGGACCGCTCAGCAAGGCTGCAGGTGGCAGAGCTCGATCCGGGATTCCTTGGAGGGCAACCTATAGAACCCTGAACAACTGCCTTAGATGTCTGGCCTTTGTATTTCTTATAAGGAACTTGATATTGGATTTAGGGCCACACAAATAATCCAGGATGGCCTCCTCATCTCAAGATTCTTAATTATATCTGCAAAGATCCCTTTTCCAAGTAAGGTAATATTGACAGATTCTGAGAATTAGGAAATGGATATGTCTTTTGGCGGCCACTATTCAATTAACTAAGGCCCATGAGGCTAGCAGAAGAGCTGGTGTTCAAGATGTCCAAATAGCTTAAGGTCAGCCTGGTGGAGGCGGTGAGGGTGGGGCAGAAAGAGGCGGGAAGTCCAGGTGGGTGCTGGAAATAGGGCAGCTCTGTGAAGTGGCCCCACATTTCTGGCTTCACATTTATTGACTATTTCTGTTTTCAGTTTATGTTCCCTTTTAGTGTCATCCAAGCTGACCTCATGGTAGTACCTCTGACATGCAGACATCTCCAAATAGAGTTGTCATTATTTCAACATATTTGAAATTTAAAAATTTCTATTAAATTCAAGAATCTATTCTCTTTAGCAAAGGATATTTCAATCTTACAGTTTTTAGTGAGAAAAAGGCAGAAGCTGCTAAATTTTTCAAATATACTTTTAACTGTTATAATATTTTAATGGTTTAAAATTGTTATCATTCATGCAAAGAATGTCTCATCGATGATGATTAACAAGAGTTTACAGAGATCATCTTAAACAAGACTTGAACAGGAAGTATGTAACCATTTCAGGTATAAAATTATGATGTCAAAAAATGTCATCAAACCAAACTCAAGTCTTTTATTTTAAAAATCACCAAGATTTAGCAGCTTTACATAAAGGCAATATTCCACCTCATTAAAACTTTGTGTTTTTATCATAATTGTATAAATAAATAAAGTACATATAAATTTTCAACAAGCCCCACACAGATGCCTCTAAATTCCCTTTAGTTTATTTACCCTGTGTGAAAAAAAAATTAGAAAAAAAGTTAAATGAAATAACAGTTGTGCGTGTTACTATGCTAAATGTATATATATATATATACACACACACACACACTATATATATATATCAGCAATAGCAGAGGAATTCAAGACAGAATGAACAAGGAATCAAGATAGAAACTGTGATTGGTTTTGCTTCAGAGCCCACAAAGCCCTTATGGAAATTTAATGACTTATAAACCACAAAAAGGAAGCAGCCAGAAGTGAATATAAGGGACAAGAGGAGGACCTAAAAGGAAACTGATCAACAAAAGCAAGACATCAACTAAATAAATGTTTTCCAACTCTCTAGCCAATAGGGACTGGTGATCAAAAATGAACCCAAATATACAAACATTACTAATGTTTACTTTAAAAATTTAATAGTGTGACTATATTTATACAATGAAATACTATAGCATTAGTAGTGAACAACCTAACATTGCAACAACAAAAAACTCAACACAATGCTGAGTGAAAGAAGCCTAGAACAAAAGAATGCATACTGTCAGCTTCTGTTTCTATAAAACACAAATTCACTCATGGTACAGGAAGGCAAGATAGTGGTAACTCTTAGGAGTTTATAGACCAGAAGAGGTTTCTGGGTTGTTGATGGTGTTTTATTTCTTGATCTGAGGGCTGGTTACACAGGTAGAGTCAGTTTGTGAAAATTCATTGAGATGCACTCTTATGATATATGTGTGCTACTATATGTATATTTTCTTCTATCAAATCTAAAAACAGCAGAATAAATTATAAAATAAATGCCTCTCCTACTTTTCTTTCTGATGTTTTATTTTTTTTAGTAGAACACCATTCTATTCTATTTATTGGAATAGAATACCATGCTATCAACTAAAATAAAAGAAATATGCCAAGAGGTTATATGTTCTTCAGCAAAAAGTATCCATTTAAAAGGCAGGTGCCGTAATGTGATAGTAAATGTGACTGGGAACATGTGCCAGTAGAGCATGATTTCTGATGGAAAATAAAAAATACCGCTTCATCTATCAAGTTTGAGGTGAGTGGAACACAGATTGGTTGGACTCCAGGACTGGGGCTTTTTCAACAATCCCAAGTGTGGCAGGGGCCGCTGGTGCACCCTCTGTGCTCAGCCTCCCTGAGAGGTAGGGCGGGGCCCCATGACCAGTTATAACCAAGGGTTGGAAGTGGAAATCGCGCATGTCACTTGAGACTGGGTGTTGATGAGGCCATCAGGACTCTTCTGCCTCTCTTCCTAACACATGTTAGAAAAAAGTTTTTATGTAACAGAAACTAAGAACAAGTTGGGAGAAGGAAATCCACCCTTGTACACATCAAAATGTAACTAGAAAGATTAGTACAAACAAAAAAATAATTGTTATATAATTATATGATTTAAAAAGTTGTTTTCAAGTATCTTTTGCTACTTTCTTTGAAGTCTACTTAATTATTACACAGCTTTGACCTTGCTAATGTCCCTCAGGTTTTTGGATTTGTTATTTTTTTTATTGTCACAAAATAATAAAATCAATCATTCTCTCCTCTCTCTCTCTCTCTCTCTCTCACACACACACACATACACACACACACACACACACACACACAATTCTTGTTCTATATTCATTCGTAACCTTATAAAAAATCTTATATAAAAAAGTCAAAATAAAATCCATATTACCTATGAATTGTTAGCTGATAGCAACACAGCATTAGCATGATTCAGTGATCAAAATTACCCTTTAGTTTGAAGGTTAAAGAGTAAACTATGGGAATTGGGGAGTGGGAAAAAGAAAATGAGAGAAAAGAAGTAATCTGGTGTAAGAGAATCCAACAGTGTTAGAAATGAGAAAGTACAAGTGGTTAGGAAGAAAGGATATTTTCAAAGAAGGTCTGTAACTGAAAACAGCCCATTATGGAAGCATTCAGTTTAAAATTTAATGCTTATTCTTCAGTCTACTTATTTGTTAATTTATTTATTTGTTTTAATTTGCCCACAAGCTGGCTCCCAAGATTGCACCACTCTCCTCAGGCATGTGGATAAAGTACAGACAGAAAGATAACTGGGAAACAGTCCAAGATTTTATATTCCCTGTTATAAGCAGTACCCTTTGTAACAATTTTTTGGTGTGTGTAATAAAAGTATGTAGACCAGTGGTTTCTTCAAACAAAAGCAGTCTTCACATTCCAGAAACTCAAGGGGAGGTCATTGAAAGAGCAAATCATGCACACAGAAACACACCCAGAAGAATCAGCCATTCCCGGGGTTGGAGCTTAACTTTGCTTTGAAATAGCTAAAGTGATGTTGGCAGCCCTGGAGAAGAGTGTGAAGAAAACCCAACAAGGTCATTCACCTTGGAAGCTCAGATAAGAGTAGGTTTGGCCAATCAGTTCATGGCCATCTTCTTGTTCAATGCAGTTGGCTCCTCAGTGGGTGGGACTTGGGTTTCAACACCTAAGGAATCAGTAGACGAAGAAACCAATATAAGAAGAAGAAATAACTTGAATACTAGGGCAAATGAAAGACTTGGCTGTGGCCAAACCGAATGCCAGGGGTTGGCATGGTATGGGGTAGTGAAAATTGAACAGACTTGGAGACCAGAGCTTTGGACTCTAGTTTGCACCTACTACAAGTAACTTTTTTGTATCTTATTCTCAGTTTTCTTATCTGTAGAGTAAGAAAGTTTTATTAAATGGTCACTGAGGCTTCCTCTCATCTAATTCTACAAATACTGTATGAACAGCTTTCTGATTGGCTCAAAAGTCTGACTCAGTATAAAGCAGAGACTCTGACTTTGTTCTGCCTTATCCTGGATCCTGGAGCATCCAGGAAGCCTGGGAGAATTCCCCTATGACCCTCTACTCTTGCAATAATGAGACTCACTGAAACACAGTGCCTAGAACCCACTCCACCCTTATTACCGGGGATTTGGCTTTAACTTTGCCCAACTCTGCAGTTTTAAGCCTGCTACTTTTGAAAATATATTGCTGCAATATATAGAACAATTTGTTTTCTAGTTATTTCATAGAAAATTTGACCTTAAAAAATTTGTAGAAATCAGCTAACTCATACCTCCCATCATGTCATATGGAAAAGGCATAACTTGCTAAGATAACAACTGATCATTAGCAGTGCTAGGAACAGAAGCCAGACATTTACTGTTACTCATACTACAATTATAGATGCCTGGTATCTGGGTTTGAAGCATGTTTCCATTTAAGCTTTCTTTCTGAGAAACAGACTATATTGTTCCAAAGAAATGACTTTCAAGTTCATTAAAAAGTTGCTATCAAGTAGGTTTTTTCAGTACGTACTCATGGGTTCTATATTCCCTGAATTCTCCGATGTTTGATAACTTACATGTCCCTGGCTTGCAGGAAGGGCCTCACTCATTCGCCCTCCAGGCCATTGTCATGAAGGGCTGTACCCTGAGGCTCCTGGGGCACAGCACAGCGAGCACATTCACCAACCCCAGCCTCAAAGGAGCCTCTTCTCCAATTCAGGCAGTGTGTGCCTGCGCATTAGTGCTTTATAGCTTTATAGTTCCTTTGTAATAAATATATGACTCATAACAGCATTGTTCTTTGTTTAGCTTTCATCTTTTGTAAGAAATAGTTGTAGATTTATTTTTAAAGGCTGGCTACCTTAAATAAACTATGCCCCCAGATTTCTCTTTTTCTTATGAAAAAATAAATGCTAAACTTACAGGAATGATTCTGTATTGGCATTAAGGAAGGGCTATCAACCCATGAAAATAATCAATAAATTATGTTTGATACTGAATGTATACACAAGATTTCTCAAATATCTGAAAAAGAGGATTTCTGATAAAAATCCACCATATCCTGCTTTTCTTTTTATTGGAGTACTTCAAATTTAGTTGTTATCTTAAAAGAAGCTCCAAATCCTCATGCAAAAGTCCTGGTCTTGGGTCTGATGCTTATATTTCCTTTAAAGTAAGTAGAAATAATTATTTGAGCACAGAAGAAACAACCATGTTAGATTTATTCAAATCTAGTTAAATAATGTTTTAATTATCATGCAAGATGTAAAGAATGTGTAATTTTATGGATTATCTATTGAGTAGTAGGCAAAACCAATTGAAGTCAGAAGCGAGCCTTTGAATTGATGCATATTTGTAATAACTCTTGGCTATGGCAAAGAGAACCTGAATTTTTAGGATACACACTGGATACACACTGAAAAAAACCTAAACTCTCTAGTTACATCTAAGATATATTACGTATCATATCAATAAACTTTTCATATCATGCTTTGTGCTTTGTTATTTTGGTTATTTTTGTCAACAAATTTTTATCACATGTATTCTATATTTTGGAGGAGAAATCCTGGCAACCACACAAAGGTGGTATCAATTACCACTTCCACAAGCTATGCATGAGAACTCTTCATAACCCATATATCAATATTCTCTGGTTTGGCTGAAGTTAGAGGAACATTATTAAGTAATCTAATATTTGCCTAGCACTTGTTCTAAGCACAATTATTTCAATATTTTCACAATGCGTCTTGATTTAAAAGAAAGTTGTCATTATTATTAAAAACATTTTGTGATGAACTAATGAAGTTTTCCAGAGTAAAATGAATCATATTATGGAAGACCTACATTTGACACACTTCCTTCCCAACCCCCACTGTCCCACTTAGGACTTTTGTGTAAGATTTGAAAACAATAAGAAAGCATTAAAAAATACCATGCAAAGCAAAAATGGAAAAATGAAGGGTAGGTAATAATTCTGCTCTATCTTGTCTCTATTCATTTTAAATAAAAATACCAGGAAGAAGATATCATAAGCACCAGAAATCAATCAATATTTTCATAACTACCTACTACTTTAAGTTCTACCAAGAAGTATTGCAAACATTTCCATGAGAAGTTTTCTGTTATGTTTCTCAGGACACACATTTCCTTTTCCAATTGCAAACTTCACAATCCCATACACACGTGTAAAGTAAGCCAAGTATAACAAAGTTCTGAATCTATTGTACTAGCTATAGACACAGAAGTATGTGCCAGGCTCACTATGTCATGGGCAGGGTATGTCTAATAAATAATTCAAAATACATTTCCCCTGCTATTTTCTCCTAACTTTCAGTTTACTCTTGTATGAACCAGTATTATCATAGAAATAATACACTATTACTATGTAAGCTTCATTATACTATTTCTTAAAGTGCCTAAATCTCAAATCTGTTGCATATTTATATACAAGTAAATGCATAAGAGAAGCATCACTACAGATTCAGTATTTATTTGTACTCCTTTTAACTGATTCCTAATTAATGAATATAAATGTACTCTCATCTTTATGAATTCTAGGCTTCTGCATTCCTAATATATATATTTTAGGATTAATGCTTATATTATTTGCATTGATTCTTCTTTTGTTTAGTAATAAAAAATTTAACTTTTTCAATTTACCTTTAATTACAACTTTAATACCATTCCATAGACCTTTATAAGTAGTGATTTTATTAGTACCTTTTCCTGAGTAATTGTACAGTTTTATTTCCTTCTTGTCACTACAGTTATTGAGAATGATAATTTTCAGTGTGTGAGTGGTGATCTTTTCTAATATCCCTTTATGATGACTTTCTAGGTTTATTGCATTGTTGTCACAGATTGAGGCCCTTACAACGTCTCAAAAATTCCCTAGTTTGAAAGATGGAATATTTATTCTCTGTCCATAGGGTACAGAGTTTGACTTAGTCTTTTAAACTAACATAGCCATCTTATTCAGAACCCGTATATTACTATGTAATGTCACTCAACATCTCCATTTCAGTTGCGGTCCTAAATATTTTTAAGGCTAAGCACAATAGTTTAAGTGCAAAATGTCCCTGCATCCCAAATCAAGGGGCTGGATTATAAAACCAGTTCTTTCAACATCAGCAGGCCACTGTGGATTTACTGCAAAGTAATGAGGGTGAAGCTTCAGGGTCCCTCTCTTGCATAGGTCCCTTCCCAGACAATGAATAATGTCAATTAAAAGAGTATTTATATTAATCACTGAACCAGAAAACTTGAAACACAAGAAACCTTATAGTTCATATATGAAAGAAACTTAACAGTGATTTTCCCAAATTTTACAAGAATCCCAAAAATCTGTGTGGTGGTTATGTTAGGTAGATAGGGATTCCAGTTCTCCTATGGACAAAAGTGGATGCTATTGCCCCATCTTGCTCCTGTCCCACCCCAATTCTCCATGCCTAGGGGAGAAGGGAATGCCCTACAAAGCTACCAATCAGAACCTGGCATACCAGCTACAAAAGAATGCAGAGGACTCTCTAGCCCACAGGCCAAGCAGCATGGGTACCATAAAGTCCGGAAAGTGACCTAGAACCCACATGCATAATTAAGTCATGTGACTGCCAACTGTCCAATCAAAGTGGTTCCATGGTGACCTCTGAACCATGAGAGAGGTTTCTGTCCAGACACCATAAAACAAGACCCAGACCATAACCAAGCTTTCTTTTTGTACCCTTCCTTTGGCTTTCACTTTGCTGCAACAGTGGTCCTGGTCATCATCTGTGGCATATGTACCATGCTCTGTTAACCTGTATCTTGCTCTTGCCCTATAATCTTACCTTTCTCTCCTCAATAAACCTCATTTTCGTGCTTGCCTTACTTTGGCATGTCTGGTCATTCTTTGGCCATGAGCATTCCAAGAACTGACATTGTCAGACTCAGATCTGACAGTTACAATAGGGAGGTATAAAGGTGTAAAGAACTTCTAAACTGATAAGAAAAGAATTTTAAATAAAGCATGCCAAAGCAAAAATTGAAATACCTTTCTAAGCTGTCTATTGAAAATGGCATGTCTAAATCACTGGCATATGAAAAGTAGACCAAAGAATATGCAACCAAAATCAAAAGGAAAAGGCTATCTTAGAGGTATGTCAGGCAGTGAATTAATAAAAATATTATGTTTTTTTCAATTTTATGAGGTTTATGGTGTTTGTAAGCTTTTTAAAATTTGTAACTATTTCTGATTTCTTTTTAGCTTCTAAATATATGTTCATGTTCATTCCTAATTGTGTTTGGTTATTTTGGATTGTTTTTCTTAACACCTCTCCCCAATGTGTCAGCCTGAAGCCCCACAAAAGGTGGGTGATTCCTTGGTGGTTACGTACCTTCAGCAATGAAAGAATGCTGTGCTGAAGAGTTTAAAGGGAAGACTCATTTATATCCCCTCCCTTCAAGCCAAATGACCACAGGTTTGCTGGATAAAGAGGCTGGAGAAGTTGTTAAATCACTGTGTGTTCCCATCTTCCTTATCTCTTCCCAACTATGAGAAAGGGTTTCTCCCCCATCTCAGTCAGAGGGGATCTGAGAGAATCAGCAAGATGTCAGCATGTCCTCTCCTCTCAGGGAGGTGGTGTCTGATGCTTCCTTGGAGATTTCTAATGACTGGAGTTGTCTCTTATTATAAGTAAAGGGAAATCAGAGCACTGGACACAAACCGCGCTTTCCAAGGAGCAGGGCAAGGATGCCTGAATTTTCCAAAGTCAAGTTGTTTCCAGAAAGGGAGCACACCTGCGAAGCTTTATAAGTCTCCACTCAAGGGAACTGCCTGGAGAGGCAAAAAGGCCCCAGCAGAGAGAGGCCATGTGGGGTGACCCAACTTCCTGCCTGGTTTCCAGGGAAGGGGAGAAAGTTTCACTTTAAATGAAATTTGGAGTTCTCATGATTGCATTGAACTGGGTGTTTTAATTAAGTGAATTATGATTGCACTTGAGGCTGAGTGACTTGCCTGAGTTTGCTCAACACTGGGGAGAGGCCTGGTTGAACTTGAAGGAACTATGGGAAAGAATAAAGTTGCTGTAAGTTACACCCTGATTAGCTGAACTTATTCAAGAAAAGTTATAGCCATTTACCTTTAACATTCTAAACCTACTAAGGACTTAGAAATTTGGTTAAAGTCTCCCTGTTGTTTGTTTGTTTGTTTTTTTCTTTAAAGCTTCTTTCTTATTTTTAGCCAATTAAAAAAAAATTATTTCAAGGCTATGTTACATAGTACATAAAGGTTAATTATCTCTTAACTTCAATAAACATGTAGATATTTTTTTTTTTTTAGCATTGACTCCACTAACTTTAGCTTTGAGAGTAGAGAATGTAGCCTGCATAATTTCTACTTTTTGAAATTTTCTTTTTTGCCTTAAAAATGATTTGGGGCATTTTTATAAATGATCCATGGCATTAGAAAGAAATCTATATTCACTGTTTAAATAAGACAAGTTTTTCTATATTTATATCTTGTAATTATCCTTATCTATAGCCAGGTATAAGGTAAAAAGATTTTTCCAAAAAAGGTATTGATCAGAAAAGAGAAAGTACCGTCCTTATATTTGAAATCCATAGCAAGTTCCAAGAGCACTAGAAGAAAGAATATAAAATTCTTTATGTTTAGCAGTGGAAGCAGCACATCTGATTTTGTCCAGGTCTATGGACATATATGATGGCAGAGCTGCTCTGTGTGATGATTCTAGATGCCCTCTCAAGAGCCCTGGCAGCATTTTAGAAATTTGCTAAGCTCATGTTATGCTTGGAATCTGATTAGCAAGGCAGTCAAAGATTTTGGGGGTAGGTCAGACATTATTTCAGATCTACTAGAGAACTAGAGGTGGGTGTAAAAAGAATGGCACTCCCAAGTTGGCAGAATTCATGCAAATTAAAAATGTCCATATCCTTTGGGTGAGCAGTTTCACTTATTAATATCTATCCTAAAAAAAAACACTCAGACATGTTCATTGAAAAGCACAAACAGGAACTTTCATGGAACATTGTTTTAAGAGTAAAAAATAGGCAATCATCCAAATGCTAATTATTAGAGAGTTAAGTAAATTATGGTATATGCGTACCATGAAATACTGTGCAATAATTATAAGTAAAATTCATATACTGACATACAAGATCACCAAACCCTGTAAAAGTTTTAAAATTAAGTTGCAAAACATATGTAAAGTTTGATCCCATTTGTGAAAACATGTGTGTATATTTGTATGATTTTGCATGAATGCCTAGAAAAGTTTTGGAAGGATATAAAACAAACTCTTAATGGCATACTTTGAGGAGGCAGGTGGGGCAGTAGAGAGAATACTGAATGGTGGCTGAAGATAAATTTCTCAACTGATTGAACTTCACATTGAGAACATTCTCATGTATTAATTGTGTGAAAGAATAAAATAAAAATACAGAAGTCATCCCTTATATAACTTAGATGTTTGGGTTTTTGTAACCTTACAGAGCGAGAAAGTAAACTTGAACTCGATATGGATTTTAAAGCTATAAAAATTTGCATTTCTATCTTACTATATATAATCCTAAAAAATTGATTCTCTTTCATTGCCACTAAAAATTTTTATAGTGAAAAAGTCCTTACCCATTAACAAAGGTGCTAGATTATAGATGTTATAGGTAAATGAAGACGTCATCAGGTTGACATTCATATATCAGCAAACATTTATTAAATATAGACTGCATTTCTGATACTACATTACACATAAATATCACTGAGAATCTTGGAATTTCAGAAGGTAGAATGTAGTGACATTATGTCTGAGCTAATCAAAGAGATTCTAACATATTACCAAGTAAACAAATATGTTTACTTTCAATATTATGATAGTTGACTACTTGAATAATAGCAGCTAACTTCTGTGGTACTAATATTTTCCAGTCTTCAGTCTCATAATAAGACCAGAAAATATTAAGAAAAATATCACATTGGATAAATACTATTGTCACTATTTTAAAATATGAGGAACTGAGGGTAAGAGATTTTAAGTGCCTAAGGACATACAGCAAAAAAGTGTCAAAATCAGAATTTGATTCCGGATCTAATGAGGCTGTGTATTTCCTCTCTTTCTGCTCTTATCAAATACCTCCTCCATACCCATTTGGCAACTTAGAAAGTCTTGCATGAAAATGTAAGAGTTCCCCCCTCCCCTTTATTTTTAAAGTTTTAGAACTGAAATAGTAAGTCTCAAGAACTGTTAAATTTACTGGTCTGGAACACTGCCTCTCAACATTACTATAAAATGGGCCATAATATGTATTTCAATTCAATTTTAAAAACAACTCAGCTTCAGTCTTTTCTCATCTCCTATTTTTTAGAACCTTCTAGAAATAGTTCATTCTTTCTGAAATTCTTCCAGATTCAGTTTTATTTAACGAGTACTATTTGAAAGAGCCCAATACTGAGTAATTTAGATATATGAACTTCAATGTACTTGAATAGGATTACTTGCATTGTAGGTTCTAATTGAGATCACAGACAATAGCATTATGGATGGGGAACAGGGTTGTTAGGCAGAGGAATGAGAGAGTGTGAAATGATAAAAAAACAAGGAATTTTAGAGCATAGGCACTATGGATGAGAACCAATACAGGTATGGGTCATCAGCCGTAGGAGGCTGGGGGACAGGGAGTGTCAAGAGGCAGGAAGTATGTGAAGAAATGCCAGTGGAAGTGGAGTTGATCAAAAAAATGATATTGGTAACACCATTATTGATAATGCTACTACCAATGATGAATGGCATTTATTGTGTGCTTAACTGTCAGGCACCGCTAAGCACTTTACATATGTTATCTCATTTAATCCTCACAAAAACTTTATAATATAGATAATATTTTTATTCCTAGTCTATAAATGAGGAAATAGTGGCTAAGGGATATTGAGCAACCTGACTAGTTTACACATTAGTAAGTAAATAGCTCCATCTGGAGAATTCTTAATATTTCTAAGATCAGATTTCATATACAATGGAGAAATTCCCCAAGTTAATTCCATCAAATATGGATTTATTTTAGTGCTCAGAAATATACATAGTAACCTATAGTTTAGATTTCCATGGCTTAAATTTTATTTTCTTTTAAGTTCCCCTAAAAGGATTCAGGGCACAAAGGAGCTAATAATCTGTGAAGGTCAAGGAAAATCTGATGATGGAAACCATATGATTCTTACTCAAATGCCTTCCCATTGCTTCGCATTTCTTATGAAAATCCCAGTCTCTCTCTCTCTCTCTCTCCCTTTCCTTCTCTCTCTCTCTCTCTTCCCTCTCTCTCCCCTCCTTTTGCCTTTCTTTGAAGATTAAAATTCTCCATCTTGGCTCCTCTGCTTCCCTCACGACTTTAGTTTTTCATGTGGTTTTGGCTCACCATGGCTAGATTTCATCTTGGACTCTACATGACCTTGCTGGGAGCTCCGCGCTGTCCCCTGACATAGGTGTGTGTCAATGTCAAATTCTCAAGAGCGTGCGCTTGGATTAGCCCGGTTTGCATCAGTTTTCCACTCCTGGTACAATCACTTGTTGTCATGGTCCATATGATCATGGAGCTGCCTCCTTTGGGGACTTGTAGTTGGAATGTTTTTGCTAAGGAAAGAGTATGAATGGGGAAGACTGTGTGACTGTATAAAAACTGTGTGTTTTTATAACTATAGCTTTGAATCAGTAGGTGGAAATGTCAAACTTTTGAAAGGAGAGGTATCCTTAAGAAAAAAGAAAACAACCTGTGAGACCTTCCAGAAGAGCGAAGGCTGTGGGTGATGAGCAAGGTTCTTAAAAGGGAGAGAGTAACACACTGGCTCTTTTCAATATATTATAGTATAAAACTCAAAGGAGGAATATTTAGAAACAAAAGAAAATGATGCTTTCTTTATGCTGGGGACTAGGCCAAGAGCCATAGAGAATAGAAATGTAACATCACTTAAGACCAGGTGAGAAATCTGTACCAAATGATAAAACTAGCCTCAGATTTTCGGTGAAACTGAGATTCCTACAAGACCTCAGAAACCATTCACCTAAATCTAACTTAAGCTAAATTTTGTCTTTTTTAAGTCTTCTAGACCAACTCAGAAACACTCACATGAGTTTTATAATGCCATCGAGTCTTATTTATTATTTTTATAATGTATCTTCTGCTTTTTCCTTGCTTACTTCCTTTCATTGCTAAAAACTGTTCTTCTAAACCTTCTTATTATCAAGGAATTTGTCAAGAGAAAGGAATAGGTCTTTGTATCAACATCGTTAGACTGTGGGTAACTCAAGGGAAGGGACAGTGTTATTTAACTCTGAGTCCTTAGCAACCAGCACAGGGTCTGACTTCTTGCAGTTGTTTAGTAAATATTTGCTGAATGATTCAGACCTGGAGCGGACCACCCCCGGGTAGGCAGGTGTCGTGTTAGCAGAAACAAACCAGATCAAGGGCAGAGGTGATTGGGCAATCAAGGCAAGCAGTGAGAGAGAATTTCAAAAGGATAAAAATCAACTGTAAACATGACTTTAGTATTTCTGAATGCATAATGGCAAAGGCAAACTGGAAATAGACTACTATGCTTGCGGCTACCCTTGAGCAACAAAATTGTTTATTCCAGTACTACCAGCAACAGCTCAAAACTCAAAGGACTTGGTGGTGCTTTAAATCTTTCATTAAAAGTCTGGAAGTATGACTGATAGCATGCCATTTTCATTTAGGCAATTAGCTCACACCCTCAACTTTTGTTATTCCTACCACTGAGCATCTGGAAAGCCTCTTTATGAGTGGGTAGCTATAGACTTTTCTTCTGACACTCCTGCCAAGTTACAAAACAATACTGTATTTAAGTGGTTGCATAGGACCACTAGAGATAAATGATGTTTTTAACCAAGTTTCCTAAATCCATTAAAACAGCAGTCCTCAGCCAGAGACCAGTCTCCTGGAAGACAATTTTTCCACGGACCGGTCAGCAGAGGATGGTTTCAGGATGATTCGAGCACATTACATTTATTGTGCACTTTATTTCTATTATTATTTCATTGTAATATATAATGAAATAATTATACAACTCACCATAGTGCTGAATCAGTGGGAGCTCTGAGCTTGTTTTCCTACAACTAACTCCGCTGCTGATCTGACAGGAGGCAGAGCTCAGGCAGTGAGTGATGCCAGTGATGGGGAGTGGCTGTAAATACACATGAAGCTTGCTCACCTGCAGCTCACCTCCTGCTGTGTGTGGCCCAGTTCCCAACGGGACGCAGCCCTGTTGGGGACCACAGCATTAAAATATACCATTTTAGAAAAAGATTTGCCTCCAATCTATAACAACCTCCTTTGATCTATGGAAAAGTCAGAATGAAGGGTAAAGCCAGATTTTCTTTTCAGAGGCTTTTACTAGCTAGCTAATCTCCTTGAAAATGCATGAAGAGGAAGTGAGCTAGGGAAGCGAAAAGAACCACGGCTAAGTCATTCCATTTCAGTCCCCACATATTTTACTTTAACTTAAATTTATCTAATATTCTCCTTAACATAATTTCAAGAATCACCATTTCTCTCCATCTCTATACTGACAAGAAAAAATTGTCCTTCACAAAAATATGGGAAATGAATACACATTTTTAAAGTCTGATATTCGTAAGTATTTAATTTCAACATAAAATTTAATTTTAAAGTAAAGGTGCTTCACTTTCCAAATGTCCCTTTGGATATTGTGATTAACATCTTACTGTGAAGAATTCAGGCTTTGGAATAACTTGTGATCTTTTGTTACATGGGGTCAGGTGAGATTTCTATTTATTACAGAGCTAAATTTCATTCTGGCAATGAATGCGACTTCTTGGGCATCTTGTGCATTTTCTTTAAAAAGCCTCTGCTTTTTCTAAATTACATATTTAGCTCCCGTGTTCCTCTTACCTTTTTTTAATGCAGGATTTGGCTCTACCACAACTATTGCAGCTGGACAGGCCTGCCCTTACCTGGCAAAAGCCTGTGGAACTTTGAATTCACACTTTAAGAAAATTTCATTTCCCCCTCATATTAATTGTGATGTCAGACTCAAAGCATTTCCCAGCTCCAGGGTGGGATGTTTTCTTTTTCCCTATATTCTCTCTCCTTACCCCAGTGTTATGGAATTAAAACTACAAATGCTGCTAAATCCCTTAAAGTATGTGGCATTGACATGGAGTATCTGCTGATATACTTGGAGTAATTTTTAAAATAATAATACAGCAATCTTCACTGAACCTCTCCTACCTATAAAGCAATATATGTTATAGGGAATACAGAGACATTTAGAGACTGCCCCAACTGCATTTATAGTGTAATTGGGATGACATGTGGATAGGAACTGTCATCATGTTATAAGGCAAGGCAAGATAAGTACCAAATCAATATCATGACCAGTAAGTGCTAACAGAATGGACAAAAGGTACAAATACCAACAGGGAGAGAATATAGGAAATAGGTTCTAAATAGGTTCTTGGGTCAAGAAGGATGGGTGGGGCAGTTCGCATGGGTAGGTGCAATGAATAAACATACTGGTTGATGGGGTATGTGCTAGAGAAAAGTGTAGGACATAGTTTAGAAAGTTGGTATGGAGGCCAGTCAGTGGAAGGCATAAGTGTCACAATAATGTAGTATTAATACTTCTGAAAAATTCTGAGCAGTTAGGTGATATAGTTAATACATTAAGCTCTAGGAAGAATATTATGGCACCAATGTGAGCCCTTCAACAAGCATATATGCTGCATGA